ATCTTTTTTTAGAATAATAAATAAATATGATTAAAAAATTATATTGATACCTTCTGTGTTATTTTATATAAGTTAATAATAAAATTAATTAAAAAATTATTTCTTACAGTCTTATTTTAATCTTAAAAAAATTCAAAACTTGAGATAATAATATACGCACTAAAAATAATTTATAAAATTAAATCAATACATAAATTATTAATTTTACAATCTATTTATATAAAAATATATAAAATTTATATGAGTATAATTTACATCTTTAATCTAAATATATTTAATAAATTTAGTATCGAATGAATTTAATTTAAAATTTACTTTTGGAATCTATAATAATATAATAATTATATAATTATAATAAATATTTATCAACATTCTATATCAAATTTTTATAATCATTTTCAATTTAAAATTAAAATGTTTAACTTTCTAATTTATAAAAATTATTATTAATTTTTTTAGAGTTAAGAAAATATAATTAATACCTATATAAAGTTTAAAAAATAAGAAATAATTGTAAAATTTAAGTACATCGCTCTACATATAGTAAAATAATTATAATTTAAATAAATAAATAGAAATTAAATTTTATTACCTTTAATTAACAAAAATTTGATATTTTAATTTGAAAAATTAAAAGTTTATATGTCTTTATAAATTTAAAATAAGATAAATATATTAATACGTATTTTTAAGCTTCATCCTGGTTATTATTAAAAATTATATTATTTAATTAAATCGATTAATAAAAAATAATTATTAAATAAATAAGCATTCTAATTTCAAATTAAAAAAATAAAATAAAATATATAAAAAAAGTACTATTTATTTAACACATTAAAAATACAATATTTACACATTTCTAAAATTAAATTAGTTATTAGTTTAAAAATTTATTAAAAGATTTACACACTAAATTTTTTAATATATATTTAATTTTTTATATAATATTTAGCAATTACAATCTATTATTAATTTTTATTAATGCATTGAAATGAGAAAAATACTTAATTCTATATTATTAAGAGCATGTAATTTTTTATGTTAGTAGATTAATCAATTTTTTTACTTACTATTATGAATTTGTTAATAAATAAATGTAATGAATATTTTTACTATCTAATTAAAATAATAATATAATTTTTAAAAAAATTAATAATTATTACAGGCTATTTTAATTTAATAAACTTATTTCATAAAAATAATTTTTTTTTTAACATCAATATACTTTAAAATTAATAATTTAAAATAATAAAAGTATATAAATATTTACATTCTATTTAAATTTAGATTAAAAAAATTAAATTTAATTAATACTATTCTCTTAAAATCATTTTTTTTAAATATTATCTAAAAAAATCTACTTTCTTTTTTAAAAAACGAATTAGTTTTTATAAAATAAATATTAGATTCTAATGTTTATTAAAATTATTACGCTCTATTTTGTTCAAAATTAAATAATAGAATTGTTAAAAATATTACAGTCTATAATCAAATAAAATAAAAAGTAAAATTAAAAAATTTATAAATATTTATTTCAACGCACTATTAAATAAATAAAAAATATAAATAAATGTGATATTTTTAATATATCTTACTATCTTATTTAAATTAAAAAAAAATTAATAATTTATACGAATTATTATAATTGTTACAAGTTTCTAATTAAATTAAATTAAATTCAGAAAATTTAAATAAATAAAATTTTAAATTATAACTCCCTTTTAAAAAGATACATATTTAATAATGCTTTTTCAAATTATATTTACATCCTATTGATTTTATTATTTATAATAATATTAAAATAAAAAATAAAAATTTGTTTTTAAAATTACATCCTAATATATAAATAATTTCAAAAGAAATAGTATATATTAAATATATATTTCTTCATACGGCCTTATTTAAAAATATTTGTATTAAACATTAATTAATAAAAGAATATTCTTACATTCTTTTTTTGGATTAAGTATTGCAATTAATTTAATATTTTATATTTACATACTTTTTTTTAAAAATAAAAAAATAAAATAATTAATATAATTTACTGTCTGTATCATATTAATAATAAATTTATTTTAAAAAATCAAATAATAAAGTTGACCCCCTTATTATGGATAATATATATCTATTGTAAAACTAATAATAATCTAAATTTACCTACTGAATTGAATTTTTAAAATAAAAAAGTAATATATTTTATAATACAGCCTATAAATGATAAACATAATAAATTTAAAAAGTTAATTAAGTTTCTTACTAACTATTTATAAAAGTTATAAAAATTTTAAAATTTAAAAATATTACATGCTAATTTTTTATTAAAAAAAGTAAACTATAAAACTATTGTATTTTATAATATTTACCGTCTATATTTATAAAAATGATTTATAATTAAAATATAAAAGATCATAAATATATTAGAAAAATATTTTTATAAATTTTACAAACTTCAATTAAAAAATTATTTTGAAAATAGTAAATGAATTATTACACACTTTATTTATTTTATTTTTAAATACACTATAATATTTATTTACATCCTTATTTATAAATAATAAATAATTATTATATAATATTATTAATCTTACACGCTTTGTTTATTCATTATTTTTTTATAAAATATAAAAATTTATACGCACTATTTTTTAAAAAAATATAAATTATTTTTTATTAATAAATACTTCCTTTTAATTTATTTAAATCAATTAGGCAAAAATTTTAATTTTACCAACTATTAATAATTACTAAATAATAATATGTATCATATTTACAGACTAGATATAAAAAAATATTATATTATATTATATTTTTTTATAAAATTAATTTTACACACTATTTAATAAATTGTAAATTTATTTATAAAATATTATTTTACAGGCTTTTTTAAATTATTTAAGTAAATGATTATTCAAATTTTTTTACATTTCTCTTTTTAATTATCAATAAATTATATTTTAAATAATTTTTTTTTGAGTACATCATCATTCTTAAATTAATTTAAAAAAATAAAATAAAAATTTAATTAATTTTTTTAGAGTACATCTTCTTTCTTAAATTAATTTGAAAAAATAAAAATTTGATTTTTAATCAAATTTATGTTAGTATATTTATTAGATAAAAAGAAAAGTTTAAAGAAAAAAATCAATTAAAAATAATTTAAATATAAATTTTAAGGTATTTTACACTTATCTATTAAAATTAAATTTAACAATTTAATTATATGTTTTACTAATGACTTTATTTATTTTAAAAAATCATATAAGTGTGAAGATTAAATTTATTTTAAAAAAAAAGTATTATATAAAGCTTACAGACTATTTTTGTATTTGTTTTAAAAAGTTTTATAAACAAATAATTATTTCATACACACTAAAAAAAATTTTATTCAAATTATAGTTATAAGAAAAATAAATAATTACATTCTAAATATAAAATTTTATTAAAATAAATTATAAATTTTTTTACTTTCTAAAGAAAACAGAAATAAAATGTAAAAATATAATAATAAAGTACGCACTGCAAAATATATAAAAAAAATATTAATAAAAAATAAAAATATATTATTACTGTCTATTTTAAAATTAAAATAAGAAAATCA